TGTTAATGCTTAAGTGACTGAAAAGTATAATTATAGTAAAAAAATAAGTGTTTCGAATTAATACATATAGTTTATTTTTAAAATGTTTATATTGTGTATATTTAATTAATGAAAGGAGGCCGGGAGTGGCTCCAGCTCTGGTAAACATTTTAGAAAAAAAAAAAAAAAAATACTAAAGTCTTAGGCTCCATTTGGTTGGTTTTTAGGAATACTATTATTAGTATTCCCAAAAAAGTTAAACAGTAAAATACCCAAAAACTCACAATATTATCAAATATTATTCAATTTTTTTTAAACCTCCTAAATTTTTTAATTTAATTAAATACCCTTAAATATTTTTTTTCAAAATTGTAAAAACACCCCTAAACCCACATTATACTAGATTCCGACCACCACTGCCGAAAGTTGGCCGGAATCTGATATAATGCCGCACTACCGACTGAATCTGGCAGGTAGTGCGCCGATCTAGCCTTTTCCAGCCAGATTCACGGAAGTTGGCCAGAATCTGATATAATAGCGCACTATCGGCTGAATCTGGCCAGTAGTGCGCCGATCTAGCCTTTTCCGGCCAGATCCACGGTGGATCCAGCCAGAAAAGACTAGATCTAAGGCCAAAGATCTGGCCGTTGACGGCCAGATCTTTGGCTATAACCAGACGTCAACGATGGCAAACATATGGTCGTCGTTGACCATCAATGATGGCCGTATCTTTGGTCGTCGTTGACAAGCAAATGCGGCCAAATCTGGCCATCTCTAGCCGTAGATCTAGCCTTTACTGGCCAGATCTACCATAGATTTGGCCGGCAAAGACCATATCGATGCACGACTCGCAAGATCCAACCGGTCATGTGCCGATACGGCGACTCCGGCCACCCTCTGGCGATGGTGGCCGGCTGTGATTATTCAATGGGTGGGTTGTGGGTGTTTTTGTTAACTTTCAAAGTTTTATTATAGGGGTGTTTAGTAAATAAACAAACATAGAAGGTATTTTTATTAATTTTCAAATCCTACATCGTAATACCCGCCCAATTCAACTTTTTTTAACTTTTTTCAAAAACTTTTTTAAAAAATGCAAAAAAGTGAACCAAACGGAGCCTTAAAACTTTTTAATATTGTCCTTGTTTGTTATGTTACACTACTCTTGATCATTATTCTGTTATCCTATTTGGATTAAAAAATATAATATGTGTTTATTTACTTATTAGGCCAATCCAATATAAAAATTAATTTAACTCAAATAAGATTTTTTGTCAAAAATGAAAAGAGAGTGTGACTTGTTTTTAGATTATTCAACTTTATTCAACTAAAAACATTCTTCTTTCTCTCCTTCTCATTTTTCTCTCTCTTCAATCTAAAAATTAATTCACCCAAAACCACCATCGTCGCTGCTGCTGACAGCCACCCCCGGCCGACGTGGCCAGAATAGCGCACGATCAGCCGTGGCCATTAACAGCATTATTCTGGTTAAGATCTAACTATCAACGACGGCAACGACCAGATAGCTCTAGCTGTCAATGACTAGATTCTAGCCGTAGATCTGGTAAAAAACGATCAAGGCGACTGTTGTTGCCGTTCAACAGTGATGGTTGATTGTCCTCTTGGGTGGTTGGGGTGTTTTAGTTAATTTTTAAACTTTTATTGTAAAGATGTTTAGCTAAATTAACAAATGTAGGGGGTTAAAAAAATAATCTAAATATTTTCAGAAAAATGTACCGAACAACTATTCTATTTTAAAAACTTTTTTTTTTTAATGTATTAAACAAATATTCAACATTTTATCTAACTCTGATATAATTTTTTAATATTTTACTAAACGCACTTTTAGATTCAAATCTAATTCGATTTGATTCAACTCAACTTTAACTTAAAACACTTTTTCATAATAACACTTTTTTTTTTTTAAAGTAACCTTTACGTTTACATTAAAATCAACTATGTTTACGTTCCCCATAAAGTNGTTTATGTTAATCTAATAATATTTTCTATGTGCTGTGAAATGTTGAAACCTCAGGTGGAGGTCTATATATATGCATATAATATATATCTATATATATAATTAATAATCTTATTGATATAAGATGGCATTAATAAAGAAAAAAAAAAACAAATAAAGTATATTTAAAAATACAATAAGTGTGGCGGTGAAATTAAAAAAAAAAAAAATAGAGCATACAACGTATTTTATTAAAAAGATAATTGAAGAATTTAAAGAATTACTATTTATTATTATTAATATTTATATATAACTAAATTAATAATACTGAATAAATTATAAATTATATTAGATTGGATAAATCAATACTCAATTAATTTTAAAAAAAAAAAATACTGAAGTCTTAAAACTTTTTAATAGTGTCCCTATTTGTTACACTATTCTGATCATTATTATGTTATCCTATTTGGATTAAAAAAATATAATATGTGTTTATTTACTTATTAGGTCAATTCAATATGAAAATTAATCTAACTCAAATAAGATTTTTTGTCCAAAATGAAAAGAGGGTGTGACTTGTTTTCAGATTATTCAACTTTATTCAATTGAAAACATTTTTCTTTCTCTCCTTCTCATTTTTCTCTCTTTTCAATCTAAAAATTAATCCACCCAAGACCACCATCGCCTGCGAGCAACCACCGTCGCTGCTGCTGACAGTCACCCACGGCCAACGTGGCCAGAACAGTGCACGATCAGTCATGGCCATTGACGACATTATTCTGGTTAAGATCTGACTGTCAACGATGGCAACGACCAGATAGCTCTGGCCATTAACAACGGCCAAAATCTGGTTGTCAACGACTAGATTCTGGCCGTAGATCTCGCTAAAAACGGTCAAGGTGACTATCGTTGTCGTTCAACAGTGGTGGCCGACTGTCCTCTTGGGTGGTTGGGGTGCTTTAGTTATTTTTTAAACTTTTATTGTAAAAATGTTTAGCTAATTAACAAATGTAGGGGGTTAAAAAAATAATCTAAATATTTTCAGAAAAATGTACCAAACAACTATTCTATCTTAAAAACTTTTTTTTTTTAAATGTACTAAACAACTATTTAGCATTTTATCCGACTCTCATATAATTTTTTGATATTTTACCAAACACATTTTTAGATTCAAATCCAATTCAATTTGATTCAACTCAACGTTAACTTAAAACATTTTTTCATAATAACATTTTTTTTTAAAAGTAACCTTTACATTAAAATCAACTATGTTTACGTTCCCCATAAAGTTATTGGATTGCATGGAATTAATTTTTTTTTTAATTTCAAATTTTAAAAATTGATTNGATATTTTACCAAACACATTTTTAGATTCAAATCCAATTCAATTTGATTCAACTCAACGTTAACTTAAAACATTTTTTCATAATAACATTTTTTTTTAAAAGTAACCTTTACATTAAAATCAACTATGTTTACGTTCCCCATAAAGTTATTGGATTGCATGGAATTAATTTTTTTTTTAATTTCAAATTTTAAAAATTGATTAGTTCCAGGCTTCTAGCAAGTCCTTTTTTTAATATTTTAAAACAATTTTGCAATGAAACCGAGCATGAATTCTATGACCAACGGATTTGTTTTTTCATACTAATTGAATAGTTGAAAATAATTGTCATGAATAAATATTAGTATTTTTCCATACAATACTCATAAATTTTAATGTAAAAATTAATGTGGAAAAGAATAGAATTGTATTACATATACAAAGATTATGTGTATATAAAATGATCCGGTAAAAAATAAATAAAATAGTTAATATAAAATGTCAATATCGTTCATAAAATTAGAGACTACTGTATGAAATTGAAGAGAAAAAGCAGATCTCTCCGAATTAATTGGGTTTTTTTATAACTAACTAACTATCTATCTATCATTTCAATGTAAAATTATAATAAATATATAGTTTCACTCATATCTGTTGTTAAGTTCACAGAACACTGCTAAATTTAAAAAGGAGAACGACTTTTCCCATCCAAAGTTTGACGAAATGACACTTTTCCACCCATTAAGTTTCAAAATAACACTTTTCTACCTTTCATCAAGTTTTATTAATGTTTTCTGTTAATATTTGATTGAAAAGACGAAAATACCTTTAAATAGTTTATTATAAATTAAAATTTAATTATGTTTTTACTTGATTATTTATTAGTTTAAGTGTAAAAACATTTTTTTTCCTTTGTTTATTTAATTAATCAAAAATATTAATTTTCTATGTTAATTAGTAAAAATGAAAAATATTATATTATAAAAAATATTATAAATTTAATAGATTATTGAATAATAGTAATGCCGTATTGATAACATTACAAATAAATATATATTTTAATCATTTCACTTTAAACAATTTTATAACATTACTCTTAACCTTTAAGGTGAAGTTAACTATTTTTTCTTTTTTGACTTTTTAATATTTGACTTTTTCTTAATTAAAAAATAATAAAAAATTTATAAAATTAAATATTTAAGGGTGTTTTTGTCTTTTCAATAAAATATTAACAGAAAAAATAACAAAACCTAACGAAGGATGAGAAAGTGTGATTTCAAAACTTAAAGGTTGAGAAAGTATCGCTTGGCCAAACCTTGGGTGGGAAAATGTCTTCTCCCATTTTAAAATCTAGTTCCTAGGTCATGAATATCATTCCCAAATGTAAATTAATTTAGAATGACGTTATATAAAGTATCAACCCATAAAATTATCTATACACCCTTCCAAATCCCTAATCCCAAAAAAAATCCTTAAACTACGTTTAAACAATTCTTTTATTATAGGAAGACAACTTTAGTGAGAAAGATGATGTTGTATAGAGGGTAGAGTATGAGAACGATAGTCTTATAATTTTTGTTTCTAAGAATCCATTTACTATCACCAGAGTCGGTCTCATGAATTTTCTTTCTAAGAACCCTTATTATGAAACCTTTAGTCTCTATTTTGACTAAAGGTTTCATATGGACCCACCCATTAATTTAGAAAAAAAAAAAATGAATATTCACCACATTATTAGAAATATAAGAAAATCCAGGATACGGATACTATAGAAAACGTTTTACAGGGGATGATATAACATCAGTTACAATCACTGATACCAACCAAAGCATTTGACATTGACATTTTCCTTTGCAACAAGAAATCTCCATCAATTAAGAATAAGAGACCATGGACCAAGAACGATGCCCCAGGGCTCAGACTTCGTGCTGACGCAAATTAAAGTTAAATATTAAAATATTAATAAAAAAGTTATTTAAATCTGGAATGTAAAATGATTTATTGAAAGCTATTAAATTTGTATAACATAGGTTTTATGAAGTTGACACAACAGAAAAGTGAAGACAGTTTTTTTTTTGCAGGCTTTAAATTGTCTGTGGACTCCACTCTAGAACCACGTGAATCTGAAGCCAGACTAGCTCCTAACTGCTCCAATTGAAGTTGTTTGCATTAAAGAAGCAATTTGACTAATTAAATTATTTAATTGAGAATTAAGATGGACCAGATTCTAGATCAACAATAGAAGTTATCTGAGCCAAGCAAAACAATTCCGCGTTGACATCAGCGTCTCCCACATCTAAAGCATTTTGTCCACATTTCCCAACAAATAAAATTTGACCAATTTATTAATTCTAGTCTTAAAATAATTCTACAGCGTTTTCTCTGATTTCAACCCTACACGTTTTGTCCAAGTCATCAAATTTGGTCCAACACCAAAACCTAATAGAGAAATTTTATCTATTTCACATTATCTAATGAACCACCCATAACCTAATCACGCGCTTTCTCATTTCCATAACAACTAAAACACACTTAATTATTATATGATTCCTATAATGATATTCAACTTTCTAACGTATCTAATCCTCCTAAGACTCCAAAGTTTAAGACACTTGAGGCGTACGTTTTCATACAATTCGTTATGAACAAGCAGATCAATATACATAAAGCAAAAGAGACTTAAAAACCTTGTTAACGATTAATTCCAAGTTATATAAGCAAAGAAATAGTAAAATCCTAGCAGAACCACCATTGGGTGGGTGGCCGAGTATTTGAACATGGATTCTTGAGGTATTACCCCAAAAATCCTGAATTAGATTAACCTTGATTGTTAATACGGCCGTTAACTTCAAGATTAGTTGAGGTGTTGTTAATACGGGCCGTTAACTTCAAGATTGGTTGAGATGCCCAGGCAAGCTGCCGGACACCTCGATCAAACCCCAAAAAAAAAAAACCCTAGCAGCATATTGCAGGTATTCACACATAAGCTAAAATAACTAGCTACCTACAGTCAATGCATTATTAAAAAGCTATTAATGACCATTCGATCTAACCGTTTGGCTATTAGGCGCGAGTCATCATCTTCTTAAACTCCTCAAAGTTAACATGGCCATCACCGTCGGCATCCACCTGTTTAATCATCTTAGTGCAATCACTCATCGAACACTTTTCTCCAAGTTTCTTCAACACCGAATGCAACTCACCGACTGATATCAAACCGTTCTTGTCAACATCAAATAGATCAAAGGCGTCCTTCAACTCCTTCGAACCGTCGCCGCCGGCCGAGGCTCCGCCGCTATGAAACTCAACGAACTCGTCGAAATCAATGTAGCCATCGCCATCCTTATCAATCTCTTGCATTACGCGTTGGACCTCCTCCGGCGAAGTCTTGGATCCAAGCGCACGGAGGATGTCCTTGAGTTCGTCGGTGGAGATTCTTCCGTCGCCGTTCTTGTCGAACTTGTTGAACACTTTGCGAACTTCGTCCACTGAACCCAAAGAAGTCGCATCTTTACTTCTCGCCATCCTTGAGGAAGAGAAGTTTTAGTTTTAAAACTTCTTAATTCTTTTGTTGTTTATGTTTTCTTTTCGAATTCGTGGAGTTTGAGTTCATTTCTATATACGTTGAACTTTCACGCGGTTTTATTTTAACGCGCAAATGACACGTATGCCAGACCAAGAGTTTACTTTTTGGTGGTGTGGGATGAAATGCGGGCGGGTACAGTCAGTTAAGGTAGATTAGTTAAGGAGTTTGTTACTTGGTTGGTTGCTGAAAGTTGAGAGTTGAGAGATATAATGAGATTGGTACACGTGGTTAGTAGTGTAGTTGTGGGTGCAGTTGATTTTTGCCTTGGAAAGAGATACTATTGTTGGCCTTGAAAGGAAAGTTTGTGATCCAACAATAATTGGCTGCTAACGATGGTGACATTTACCTGTTAACGCGTGTTTCAGTTCTTATACACATCCAGCGTGGTTGGGCGGGTTGTTGTATATGATAATAATATCATGTACATTTAAAATTAGAAAAAAATCTATGTATTATATTTATATAAATCTTTTACAATTTTTTTTATCAAATATATTACTTACCATACGGGTTTCTCGATCTTATATTAAATTGTAAATTTTTTCGAAAATCTTATAAAATTTACGATAATTAGGAAAATAAAGATATTTCTTCCATTTGAACACCCTTAATTGGGAAAAAAGAAAAATACTTTCCTTCTTATTATAACAGATAGGTGCACTTTTAATGTATAAAGTGATAAAGCTAATAAAGCCAGGTGGAAATTAGTTGTTAAAAACAAAAACAAAAAAAACGGAAAAGGAGAATGAGTGGCGTGTGCTTACTGCTTACGTATTGTAGAGTAGGTTGAAGAAAGCGCGTAGCCAATAGAGTAAAGCAAGGTAGAAAAGGACATGAGTTGGAGGAGACACCAATATTCAATTCAAGTACATAAAAAAAAAAAAAAAATCTTGTATTATTTTTGGCAGGCGGGCCGCGCGGGGGTGGGTGAAGTTAAAAGAAAGCTATGATGATGTTTAGTAAGTGATCTGTTCTCTACATCATAATTGTTTTTGTTAAATAAAAAAAAAAAAAAAAATCAAGTGGGTAAATAAATGAGTTGGTGCCTCGGTGGTGTTTGAAAATAATGGAAGGTCCACAAAGAAAGATGTAGGTTGTCCAAGTTGAAAGTTTGTGGTAGTGGACAACTAATTGTCCAATAAAATTGTTGAAAAACGGATTCATTACTCATATCTGCAATGCCATTACCTTGATGTTAAATCATATGTCATTAGTGCATGTTGGACTTTGGAAAATCCGTCATATACATTATTACCAGGGATGTGATTTTTGGCCCCGGTCTTCAAGTTTACGTAAGAATATAATTATAAGAAAATAAAAATGATTCATTTTTTTATATTTTTACTTTAAAGTTATATCTACAATTATCAAAAATCAGAAAGTATAATTAAATTAATTAGGTTAAATAAAGTATAGATCAAATCAATCAATAAGCTATCATAAAATTATAGACTAATTTGTTACAAAATCATAACTCAAAGCTCTATAATTAAGTAATCACTTCAAATATATTTTAATAGAAGAAAAACTTATTTCCCCCCAAAAAAAAAAATAAAAAAAAAAAAAGCTTGTATCACAAAACCTAAAAATTCTTACAATCAAGTAGTTAATTATAAATCTCATCTGAAGTTCTTAACCCAAGATAAATTTGATTTCATTCCCATTAAAACAAAACATCTACCTGATTTGATTGATTTTTTTCTCATGCTTTATTATTAATTCTTGTTGATTTCAATTTACTTTAATTCTGATAACTATAAATATAAAACTTTAAAATAAAAGTATGAAAGAATAAGAATAATTTTTTTTTTTTTATCACAATTATATCCCTACTTAAACTTAAAGATGGGGGTTAAAGATAAAAACAATAGTAATACTACACTCACAAACCTTTTTCACTAACTTTCTCTCACAAACACGACGTATTAGCTTGTAATTGGTCAGATTACAATAGGTCATACTTGTCTAACAATGAATTCTATCTGACCAATTACGAACTATCATGTTAGCGTTTGTGAGAAACCACTTCTTTTACAAGAATATGTTATAATCCATTCAAACGGCCTAATGTTAGCATACAAATACAAGGACAACAACAGTGATGGTTCTCGGTAAGGGTGGTAAAAACCCAACCCGGCTACCCATGGACCGGGCCCAGCTTTTTCATCTATAAATAGATACTTTAAAATGATTTTAAAAAATAACTTACCCAAACACCATGAGATATGAATAAAGATCGGATTAAATTGGCGACACCAACACCAGCAAATGGATTGGTCAAATACAAACATAGTGTTTCCGATATCACCAATAAGGCAATAATTGTCTATATTTTACTTCTTTTTTTAATTTAATATAATTTACACATCACATATCAAAATTTAAGTTTCCATTTTACACCACATGTCTACAAGGAAGAAATCACAATGGGCCTGAGTGGGTTCGGTTGACCCCGTTAAACCCCAGCCAGCTCACATTTTTAACTTTTCTATTTTTTGTTGGCATTTTTTAATGTCAAACTTATATATAAAATAATCTAGTAAGAGTTACTATTAAATTTCAATTAATAAAAATAAATACTAATATAATTTTTTATTTTTTATTTTACACATTTGTGATATTTGACTGTTCAATAAGAATATTATAACTTATAACATTAATATTAACGCCAACAATATTTAAATACAATAAATGTCCATGTAAACATTGTAATCTACATAATATAGTGGATTCTTTATATATTTTAAATAAATATTTTATTATTTTTATCATACGAGTCAATGTTCTATTGGGACATGTGTCAACTTAATTTCAACTTCTAAAGTTTGTCAAATTATATTCTTATCCTTAGTAATATTCCTTTTAAAGATTTGTCACTTCTTGTCTTTTGAAAAAAAAAAAAAAAATTCTATACTATAATACTATGAAAAATTAAAAAAAAAAAAAATTAATTACATTGATTGTTATAATAGGAGAAAAAATACCCATAAAAGATCATTTTATGTTATGAATTAAGGTAGATGAAAAGAAAATAATTATATATATACTACATAGTTAAACACCAACAGCTAAGAATAGGACAGTGATGAAGTGACAAACAAAAACCTGGTTGTGTTTCTTCACCTAGCTTTCTCCGTTATTTTCTTTGCTTGTCCCTTTTTCTTTACTTGTTTAGTTTATCCAACTTTCTCCCGTTTTCACCTTAAACGCTGACACTCATCTCCTTTCTTCAAATTCCTTGCCAAAAATTCCCCTTTTTTTATCTCCAACCATTTTTCTTAACTTCCCATCTTTTACGTTCACCCTCTCAGCTACTATATTCCAAGCAATGGCTCTTCCTTCCACTTCTTTTTGCTTCACTGCTGGTGTTTCTTGTTACTCTCACAACTCAATTAAGTTCACTCATTCGACTGTTAAAGCTTCGTCGTCCAGCTCCCTCATTTCGCTTCCTCGATTGAATGTCCGTGGTGGGTACTCAAATTTTTTTCGAAATTTTATTCCTTTTTTTTAAATGCTTTGTTGTTTATATGTATGTGTTGATATTAACGTTTCTAGCTTGTGGGTCTGCTGATTTTCTTTAATTACCTTTTGGGGAAGTTTTTTATTGTTGCATTTCACAAAAGATCAATATACTTATACATGAATAGCGGTAACATTAATGGAATTTTTGAACTTTGATTTGGTTTTTATGCATCACTAGCAGTTGTAATTGGGTCCTGAATGAAAAAGATTTTAAAAAATCAAGATCAGAATGATAATGTGTTGATAAGTATCATAGGAGATGCAAATAGTAATAATCAAATTCATACCGTAGGAAATCATCTTGATTTTATAATTAATGTGTGTGGAGGATATGAACATTTAAGTATCTTGCACCGAAACATTCGTGAACACTGTTGGGTTGCAGAAATTACCATTAAAGAGTACATAGAGGTTTAGAATGGTGAAACTTGGTTCAAAGTTGTCACCTGATTGTCAGAAATGTGATAACAATTGCTGGTCTGGCACTCAAATCTTAACCTTTAAATTCTTTTCTGGCCTTTCCAAGTGGAAGCAGCCTCAGATGAGTTCAGGGGAGTTTATGGACAATGGGGGCTGCAACTAATGAGAGGGGAAATCTCTGTAGTCACCTCACATTCACATGAACAATTATTCTGCACAGATCTCTCACTAGCCACTATAAGACTTTGAACGGTATATCTAGTGATTGACTGAATGATGATGCTAAGAGATAGCTTATTCTTCAATTCATGACAAATAAATTTATAACCTCCAGAGTGACTGCCAACAAAAGAAGGGCAGAAAAAACTTCATACTGAAAATGGCATATGAAAACACGTGATCAATTACCACACTATAACCACTATGCCAGGACAAATATACTTGGTATTGGATTCCATTCTGGATCTACGACGCTATCATATCAGCATTTGTTATAGTTCTAATTTGAAACCTTTTGGAGTAACCGTTCTAGGTTCAAATGAAGCTAAATTTGTATTCAGATATGACAGATTATCTTAATTTTAGGATTATCCTATTTCCAAGCATATAGATGGTTTACTGGCATTAGTGACAATATATAATGTTGGCAAATGCTTAGGCTGTCTATCTCATGTGGCACTTTTCTTTTATTTATTTATTCATTTTTTTATTTAACTCTTTTATGTAGTTGAGCTGTTATAGAAATCATGAAAATGAAATGTCCTGATTCTCTGATACTTCCATTGGTTGAGAAATATCCAAGTTCAGTAATAAAATTTTTATATGCATATGTTGCTAAATATATATATATGAGATCGAATTTGTTATGTATGTGGTAAGATATTTTATGGTAAAAAGAGAAGTGTGTACTCTATTCATTCCTATAATATGATGTTACAAGAGGTTACGAATCAAACTGCTAATCATGCTTTTCATGTGCTGTTAGTTTGATGTGCTTATACATATAGAATTGGATTGTTTTATAAATTAATCTTCTGGTTACCTATTTACCTTTGACTTCTACATGTGTTGCTCATCGCTGATCCTTGATAACTTTGATATATGCTAGTCAAAGCATTTTCCGGTGATGGAGTACCTGAAACAAAGGAATCTCCTCTTGTTGTTTGTTTTGGGGAAATGCTGATTGATTTTGTCCCAACTATTAGTGGGCTTTCACTGGCTGAGTCACCAGCTTTCAAGAAAGCTCCAGGTGGTGCACCTGCCAATGTTGCTGTTGGCATAGCTCGTCTTGGTGGATCTTCAGCTTTTATTGGGAAGGTACCATTTCAGATCATAGTTGTTTCAACTCCTGCTAACATAGTAACTCTCCCCCATGTTTCCTAGGTAGCTTGTTTTCCATTTTTTATTTTTTTTCATCTTTTTCTTTATTATTCAACCTCAGCTGAGAAATTGGGCTCTTTTTCTTTTAATTGCCATGTGTTCTTATACACTCGCAGCTTGTGATTGTTTTCAGCATTTCTGTATGGTTGTCTTTGTTAAGAAAAAGTAACACTGGGCAATATTATCAAAATCAACATGGTCAATGGGTTGAAACAGAATTTAGTAAATTAATAAATTCCTTCTAGATATTGAATAAAGCCAAATTTTGAATTGCAGATAGAGTTTATCAACTCTTTATTAGAGAATTCCTGTACATGTGGTAGTCAAGGTTTTAACAGTTAACTATCAGATTTTCTCCTTTTCGTCTGAAAAGAAATATTTTTACCAAATGTCTAGATCAAGCCACACTACTAGCATTGATCAGGTGTTCTTTGAGTTTCCATCAAACAAGCCTGATTACCAGATAAATAATCATCTTTTGTATTATCTTGCTTCATTTCATACAATATAAAATTGATAATATATTTAAATAAGAAAATGTAGAAGAATCTGTTTCCCACATTTCCAGTGGTGAAGATCTCACTTTCTTTTATATGATTGTGTGTGTGTGGTTACATTCTCTTAGATCTTTAATGTTTTATGCAATATGCTCAGGTTGGTGAAGATGAATTTGGTTACATGCTTGCTGATATATTAAAGGAGAACAATGTTAATAGTGATGGGATGCGTTTTGATCCTGGTGCACGAACAGCTCTAGCATTTGTTACCCTGAGGAGTGACGGGGAACGTGAGTTCATGTTTTATCGTAATCCTAGTGCAGATATGTTGCTTCAAGAATCTGAACTTGATTTAGATTTGATTAGGAAGGTACGCAGCAATTGCCACGAGTGTCAATTAAATAAAAAGAAAAAAGGTAAAAAAAATCCAACTAGATAATGACTGAAAGTCTGAAACAAGTATTTAGTTCACAAGTTTGTCACAAAATGCTCATACTTCCCACTTAACATAATTCATTTATACGAATTACTCCTGTGTTGGTGTCTGAATTCTTGTGAAATACAGATCATAATATTCCAAGTATGTTCTCTGTTTCTTCAATAATGTTGTTAGTTTTCCCATATAATTTGGTTTAATTTCTTTTCCCTTCATGCTGCAGGCTAAAATTTTTCATTATGGTTCGATAAGTCTAATCACTGAACCATGCAAGTCAGCTCATATTGCTGCAGCAAAAGCTGCAAAGGATGCTGGAGTGGTTCTATCTTATGACCCCAACCTAAGGCTTCCATTGTGGGCCTCTGCAGACAAAGCAAGGGAAGGAATTTTTAGCATTTGGGAGACTGCTGATATTATCAAGGTACAATTCAAATATTTTTTTTTGGCTCTCTTTCTAGAAAAAAATTCTTGTCAATAGAGGGAAAGTAGTACTGCTTAATTATGACAATTAAATAAATTTCCAGATAAGTGAAGAAGAGATTGCTTTTCTAACCCAAGGAGAAGATCCATATGATGATGCAGTTGTTCATAAATTATTCCATCAAAATCTTAAATTGCTCCTTGTCACTGAGGGTCCTGGTGGTTGCAGGTATTACACCAAGGTAAGCCCTTTAAATATTCTCTTTTCACATTTTTTAAACTCAGGTATCTACATATGCATGTGTGCTTACTGACATGCGGGGCTAGGGCAACATAATATTAAATGATGGTTTCATGAAACTACTTACGAAAGATAAGTTAGTAACATTGACAATGGAAGCATCAAAGTTTATTTGAAAGTTAATTAAAAGAAAGAAGTTTCTCAAATTTCTTCCCAAATAAAGAATCTTTAAGCTTACCTATATATTCTTGCTTCTGAATAGTGGACAAATTAATAGAAACTCTATTTAATAACAACAATATCCTTGATAGCTATTGGAAAATTATCTAAATGAAAAGCAGATCAAAAGGAATTCTGTTCTTATCAAATTATAAAATTCGGGCAGTTCCGGGTATAAATTGATGTTTTAAATATTGTGATCTTAAATTTTATTTTTGGGACAATGTTCTTTCACATGCATAACAATGGTTATGTTTCTTAAATTTAGGAATCTAAAATTAACCATATTCTTATATTTTTCCAGGATTTCAGTGGAAGAGTCAAGGGTTTAAAGGTCGATGCTGTTGACACGACTGGTGCTGGAGATGCCTTTGTAGCTGGAATATTATCACAGCTTGCTGCTGATCTCTCATTGCTTGAGGTACTGCCCATTCTAAAAAACTAAATGATATTATATACCTATAATAATACTTTTCCCAAAACTGGTTCTGAATTTCATATCCAAACATGTGTTATTGTAAGTAGCGTTGACATGTAAATAAAGTGATGATGCATTCAATGATATGACAATGCCACATAGGGTGACACATTTTTTGGGATATGCATTGGAATGAGTAGTATTACTAATAAAGATAACTATAACCGATTATCATCTCGATTCATGATTAATATCTGACTCTGTATTAATTTTATTATCGAATTCCAAATATCTTTTGTTGTAGCATGCAGAGAAAAATAATTTATGTATGTCTACTTTTTTTAGTTCAAATTGGATTGGAATTTTTTTATCTAATTTGCATGTTTATATTCTCTTCGCATTTAATCCTTTAGAAAGAAGACCAGTTGAGATCTGCTCTAAGGTTTGCTAATGCCTGTGGTGCTCTGACTGTGATGGAGAGAGGTGCAATTCCAGCATTGCCGACTAGAGAAGCTGTGTTGAGTACCATTCAAACTCCCGCATCATAGAATCTTCTTCCAAATCTCTGTAAAACTAGCTAACAGCTTGAGCTCTCGCCGGTCGGTTCAGCCTGGCACGTTGCTGTTGTTTTCATAGGAGCCTATTTACTTGACCGAATAATTTGAATGTACCCTACGCCTTTCATATTGTTTTTAACCTCATCATTATTTTCTATACAGTCAAAAAATAATGATAATAATTGCAACAATAATAAAGTAGTATATATTTATCTTGTGTCTTAAATTTTATTTAGCTTGCAATATATGCAAATTTTTCCTTGTTTCCACTTGTCATGCAATTCCTTAATCTCGTAAAACTAGTTCTTGAGGTGATCCGGACAATATGCTCAACCTCTAACTATTCGCCAGTCTGCATGGCCTTGTCAACGAATCCTTTCTTTAAGAAGCAAAGCTGATAGTTAGTCACAAACCAAATTTGTCCCAGGAAAATTTAAAGGTAAGAATCAAAATGGCTGACGATTCACAGGTTCTGGCTGATCGCCAGCGGATTTTCAAGCAGTTCGACTCCAATGGTGATGGTCGAATCTCAGCAACAGAGTTGGGGGATCGCTTGAAGCAACTGGGGGCAGTCTCAGAAGTTGAAGTTGAAAATATGATGGCAGAAATTGACACTGATGGTGATGGATATATATCCTTCCAGGAATTCAGAGTTTTTGCTATTGCCAACAGCGGCCTCATAAAGGATGTTGCCAAAGTATTATAAAATTTCTTTCTATTCATGCATTGGAATCAAAACTAAGTTTGCGAGTTTGATTTATATTAATTCATTTTTGGAATGTGTCCGATAGGATACATACCTTAAAAGTTCAATTTCTAATCTTTCTGGTATATAAATTCATAGATAAAAGTCTTTTATATAGTATGTCCTCTCCGGCTAAATTATTATTATTATTATTATTATTATTATTTTCTATATATATAAAATTATAAATACTGGCCACTTGATCGAAGTTTGGCTGTTGTTTGTAATTATGGGGCTATGATTATTATTATTATTTTAAATTCAATTATTAATAATTTCTAATTGATCTCAAGTTCAATATTTTGTCTTGCCTGGTGGGATGGGCATTAGGGTGTGCAAAAAAATCCGATATCCGCTCCAATCCGAAAAAACCGGATATCTGAAAATTTGGATGGGATTCGGATATTAATCTTTGGAAGATCCGAATTTTCGGATCAGATACTAGATAGGCTCTGCAAAGAAACCGGATATCCGGATCCGATCTGATTTAGTCCATAACTACAAGTTTTAAGAAGTCATTTTGGAGTTTTAGGTGAAAAGTGGTAAAGTATGTGAACTATTCTTAAATACGATGACAACTTTGGGGTCAAAATGTAATGAAATGCTAACGTGCAGGGGTACTAATGCAAATTTTTAGGGGGTAAATTGATAATTTTTTATAAAAATTCGAATCAAAACCTTATATCTAATTTATCCGATCCAAATATTTGGATCGGATCAAAACCAAATCAGACAAAATCTGGATTAGATTCGAATTAGGTTTCATCCTGATCCAAATTTTGGATCGAATCAGAAAAATGCAAAACCAAATCGGATATCCTGTTTTGCACACCCCTATGCATGGAAAAATCAAAATATGCATCCTATAAGGAATTTATAAAATACCCTACCCACGTTAAGCGAGATTTGATGTAAAAGGCCTACCTATTTATATCAAAATGAATAAACAATGTTATCAATTAAATTAATTAGTTTGTGTCTTATAATATAATAAGTTTTGCAGCTCAAACGGTTCATTCATATTTAGAGCCCCACATTAGCTTCAAGATAGCTCAACTACCTGTTATCTAAAGAAATTATTCTCTCCAAGCTTGTTGTGACACTTGAGTTATATTAGATTATATATTAAAAATTTTATTTCATAAAACAGAAAGCACTTTGACTCTCCAATTAATTTTTTATTTTTTATTTTAAACCTAATATTAACAAGTGGTAGTATCATAACTAAACCAACTACCCATAACAATCTTTAACGACCTTGAAGAATTTTAGGGAAAACAAAAAAAAAAACTGTGTATAAAATGCTACCCATAACAATCTTTTACGATCTTGAAGAATTTTAGGTTAAAAAAAAAAAAAAAAAACCTGTGTATAAAATGCTATCTTATATAGCTCATGCAGATTTCAGGGTATGGTCCCTGAAAAATATTTATCATACATTAATTTCAGCTAAAACTAAAACATGTGGTTTTCCTTTAACCGCCAAATTGAAAAGATTAAGAATATGCATAACTTTATCAAAAAGTCAGTTCAACAATCTTAATAAAAATGAAGCTCTACAAACGAAAACCATTACACTTTTCCCTTTTGAGTATATAGGGACAGGTAAATGAAAAACTATGTACACACACAATTTCTGAAAAACATTCTTTTCCTATGTACAAATTTCAACACTTTTTTCCTGTTCTAATCCCTATCACTTTTTTTCTCCCAAACAAGCAACAAAATAATGGAGAAAAAAAAAAATTAGATGGTTGTTCATTGTGTTATGTTTCAACGACAATAAAGGTGGTCATCGTCTTCAATCTCTGAAACTCCTAGCATTGCCAAGGCTAAGTGACTCTTCATTTCACTTTTTGTTTGTTGTAATTGAGGATAACAATCAATATATCCGGAAAAATTGTGTTTTTTCCTAGTAGAGTAAATTAATTCTTCTTCACCTCTAAGTATCGCGATAATTTCATCAATTCCTGGCCTTCGAGATTCTTCACTGCTTATGCAGGCAGATGCAGCTTGAATCATCCGGGCTATCTGAGTTGAATTTTTCAAAGTGCATTTGAGCTGTGGATCAAGCAACTCTTCTTCAATGGCTGCCATTCCTTTATGTAAGAGGGGTTTTGCCTGCAAAAGAAATGTAGAGTTCAATTAGAATTTGAAGTTTGCAACTATGTTAACCTGACAACCTTGGACAGGACATTATCAACTGGAAAAGAAGATATCCCATTTTTTGAACTAATAACCATAGGAAATAATGGCAATGAATTTGACCATTTCAAGGCCAAAGCTCATGTTAAAACACTAAATGGAATTTGATTTGTGACAATAAAATCTAGAATTTAGTAATTTGCACCGTCATATTCTTGCAAAGAATCAAATTAACAGCAGATTCCACGGTATAGTAGACTAGACATTTTCTATTTGAAGTTTTATTTTCAACATATCCACTGCAGTAGGAGTATCTGATAGTTCACAAACAATTGTGGCATTCGCAACATTACCAGGAAAACTTTTCATTGACCAAATGATCATAATTGTGGTTTAGGATTTTGGTTATTGTCAATATCAAGGGAACATTGGACTACAAGTAACTAACAAAGGGACCATAGATTTAAATATCATTAAGTCAAAGCAAACATGGGTAGTTTAAGCATTTAGTACAACAACCTACCCATAGGACTAAATTCTCTTCTCCTGGTGGCCTTCTTGCTTCAATTGGCTTTCGCCCTGTGAGCAGTTCCAGTAGGACCACTCCGAATGCATAAACATCAGTCTTGTTGGATACTTTTCCATGTTGAAAATACTCCGGAGCCAAGTAACTGCAAATTCAGATATAATTTCAGTAAATAGAATAAACTTGCACGTTTTTTCACTGAAGGATCAAAGAAAAGAACTAAATTTTCTAAAATCATACCCAAATGTTCCTTTCACGGTTTTGCAGAGAAAAGGAACTGAAGGTGCAGAAGTCCAAGTAGCTAACCCAAAATCACATAACTGCAAACACCAGTGTCACAATCCAATTGAAAATTAGTAGGATGACGGACTAAATTAAGAGGACGGCAAATTTTCCATTGAAGTACTAGACCCTAGAGTGTGATTATGGAACTAAATTCCTCACCTTAGGTGTCTTTTTGGAAGAAAGGAGAATATTTGAGGGTTTAATGTCTCTGTGAACAACACATCTTTCAGTTCCATTATGCAAATATGCAACTGCCTCTGCAATTCCCAGGGCAACTTTATACCTAACAGACCAAGCTAGTGTCGAAGAACCCTTCACTCCTCGCTTCTTCTCTGCAAATCAATGCATCATAAATCACTCAAACTCATACAAAATAAAATCCAATTCAAACAAAAACATCAACCAAACGACATACCGTGCAAATGGCGCTCTAAGCTACCCCCAGAGACATACTTGTACACCAAGAACAAGCCCTCCTCTGGATCAATACAGAAACCCACAAGGGGAACAATATTTGGATGGTGAAGAGAACTAGCAATCATCAATTCTCTACAAAATGCCTTAGAAGACTCCTTGTCTTCCTTGTCTAATTTCTTTATAGCCACTGAAGTCCTCAAAAACCCAACTTTACCTCTAAAAACAAAGCTCAAGGCTCCTCTTCCCAGAACTCTCCCTACCCATCAACAACAAAATCAATTGCAATCACAGATAACAAATCCAAATCAAAACAAAATTGAAACTTTTACATATCAAACAAAGTCCATTACAAATACCTTTCGAAAAATTACGAGTAGCCGCAAGAATTTCACCATAGCTAAGTCTTATCAAAGAATTAGCCACTGGAGATATACTCCTCTCGAGAGACTGAATCCTTCTCCACTTGAGTTGGTCTTGAGCGCGAGTGTCACACAACCCATTGTCCAAATTCACCATCAACACAGTGGCAGAAGCGGAAGAGCTCATATTCATGGACTCAAGCTCAACCTGAGAGCAGAAACTGAACCTGAAAGAAGAGTGAACAGATTGTGGATCATTATTTGTCAACTCTGCTCCTCCACATCCACCAGACTCTGCAAGCAACCACGCCTTGTTATGCTCCAAGTTTTTACCTTTATTACTGTTGTTATTTCTATCGTTGTCTTTCTCACTGTGAGGAGGCAAAAAACAAGATAAACCGAAATCCCAAATCATCTTTCTCAAAGCTGTTCTCATCTTGAGGTCATTATAGTGTTTATAGTCACAGTAGTGATCTGTAACTATAGTGTTTAGAGCATTCTGTTGTGGGTTATTAGAATAAGTGCAAGTGTCTTGGGAAAAAACCATACTCGATGATAGATCTCAATATAAGCACAGAAACCCAGAAGCAGAAACCAAAAAGAAAGAAAGAAAAAGTGAGAGAGAATAAAATAAAGTGAAAGTTGGGTCCTTTGCTTCAAGGGTGGGAGAGAATTTGTAAAAGAAAGAAAGAGAGTGATAATGTGAGTCAATTAAATTAACATTAGATTAGATGGAGAAGGTGAAGGTGAAGAGTAATGCAAATGGTCTTTCTCTTATTATAAACCGAAAGAAAACTTAGAAAATAAATTGAAAATGGCAAATGGGTTATGGCTATGGGGTTGGTTTCTTGGTGGGATGAGAATATAAATACGAAATAAAAGCAAGCAAAGAGATTCTTATTGCCAAGGCTGAACTGGACAACATGAACCCACAAGAGAAGATGGTGAATTGGGATGTTGAGTGACATGACAAATAAATGAGAAAGAGTACCAACTATTAACCAAGAAAATAAAGGAGGAGAGACCTAACTTTGGGGGGTTAATGGGTAATGAATTAATTATTAATAGCCAATTAGGGAGAAGATGATTGATTAGTATAGTAATCTTATAGCAAGATGGTTCGGTGACCAACAATTTTTCTTTTATCTTTGACATCTTTCATGTAAAGAATTTTATACCATATCAAGAAATGTTTCTAATTAATGAATTTCTAAATCACATGAATCTATCTATTATTTAGTCAAAAGGGTATTCGATAATTGCTCTAGAGTTTAAGCATTTGTGCTAAAATAGGAATGTAAATATCAATTGATAATGATAGAATTGTGTTTATCTCGTAAACGTAGTCAAAATTTAAGCCAATGCATCCCATTTTACATATTCTCCTGCAAAATTCCATCAACATATTAATTTTTGAAACGGCCATTTCATGATTTTCTTCTAATTTGTTCAGAGAAAATATCCACTCAAACATGCGGTGTAATTTTCTTTCTATATTAGCTCAAAGGAATTCATGCTCATTATTTATAATGATAATCTGATGAAGCTAATTGGAGGAGAAACATCACTCTACCTACAAAATATTAAGATTTTACCAAAACTTGTGGCAACAATAAGAATGCCAATAATATCAGCATAACTTTTTGCAATCCTAATTTTAATGAAACTTTAATATAAGAATTAAATTAAATTCAAAAGGGAGGGACCCAATTTGGTTTCCCCACCCAAGAATGTTATGACGTGGTGCTAATTGGGACCATTTAAAAATTGGGCTCATGTTATTCGAGTACCGATACGGTTGGTCACTTTTAAATTGGTCAATTTTTTTTTTTTTTAGAAGAATTGGATGATTATAAACGTGGCACTGCACTGCCAATTGCGCGTGTGACAAGAGTCGGTACATAATTGGTAACCACCATTTAGTTTAGGGATTATTTGGAACTCTTTTAATAATGGATGGAAGCATTCACTTACTATAATTTACAAAATCATGTTACATGCCACGTATTCAATATTTCCTGTTAAATTACATTATTTTTAGGAACATCATTATTGTGTAATTTATAAATATAAATTACACCATTTATTTGGAAAAAAAAAAATTTAATTTTAATTCTATATATTTATTGTTTTGCTTTTATTACAAGGAGAATATCATAGATTATCCTTAAGATACACTAATTTATTTTCAGATAAAAACTTTTTCATTTTTTTTAATAGACTCCTAAAGTTTAAAAGCTTTGTTATTGATGCACATTCTTCTAACTTTATTAGATTTCAGTTAGGTTAAAAAAAAAAAAATTATTAGAACAAAATTACTATTTTACCCTAATCCTTTGTTATAAGACCAAAATTATCATTTTACTCATCTAACGATAATAATGACAACGTAAAAGAGTTAGAACAAAGTATTGTCAGTGATATAATCTTCAAACTTATCATCAGAATAATAAATATAATAACCTTAGGGGTAATTAATGATATTCTCCTATTTTATAACGGATTGGATAGGTAGGGTGTGCATGGCATGGGGTCTAGTTGGCATATGTTAGTTAATAATAATGGTAAATTGATTGAGAGTAGTGAATGAGACCCACATTTTATTGATTAAACATATGATTGAAATTATATTAAAATCATATGTTTTGTTCGGGAACCATGAAATGATGTAATTGTAGTGAAAGTCACTCATCTCAAACAGTAAATGCCTCTCTCTCTCTCTCTCTCTCTGTCTATATATTTTTTTTTCTTCTTCATTATTCATGGTATTTTAACTGTACATCACTTATTGTGTCGGACTCTTGGGTTTTTCTTCTTGGTAATATTAATTTAGATTTATATTTTCAAAATATCAACTTCATTAATTTGATTTACAATTTCGGTTGTTGTCTCTTTTATTCTAAACAAAATCACCCAAACTTATCTTAAACTTACACTTCCAAGTAATACTTAATGATACAATTGAGACGATATTATCATACACTCAAGGTTTTTAAAACCCAACCTCGACAAAACTAATTCTGAAATGATTCTGAAAAATGAAAAATACTTCTTATTTCAAGAATCAAAGACTTTACAGAATTATTTTTAAAGTTACAGTAGTTAGTTCCTCATATACAATGTGTTTATTGATAACCAACTCTATCTTAGCTGAGCTGGATTAGCTAACTTCTAACTACTATTTAACAGACTAAACAGATTAACTAATTGCAATTAACAAACTTCTAACTAACTTAATAACAGACTAACTAATTCGTTGATACTCTTTCTTCATTCGTTGATGCTTCAGCTTCAGCATGCTGCATGATTTCATTCGTTGATGCTTCAGCTTCAGCATGCTGCATGATTTCATTCGTTGATGCTTCAGCTTCAGCATGCTGCAAGATCCCCCCGCAAGCTGGAGAATGAATACTTAACACTCCCAGCTTGGACAGATTAGCTCAAAATGGTGCAAGAGAAAGAGCCTTAGTGAGTAAGTCAGCTAACTGATCAGAAGAAGAACATGGCATGAGATGAATAAGACCCGATTGAACCTTCTGTCGTACAACATGGCAATCTATTTCGATGTGCTTGGTACGCTCATGGAACGTGGGATTGGCAGCAATCTGAAGTGCAGACTTGTTGTCATAGAAAAGCAAGGCAGGATGTGAATGAAGGACATGAAGATCTTGAAGTAAGTAATATAACCATTGAATTTCACACATTGTAGAGGCGAAAGCACGATACTCAGCTTCAGAAGATGATATGGAAACAGTTGTTTGTTTCTTAAAATGCCAGCTTATCAAAGATGAGCCGAGAAATACACAGAAACCAGTAATAGATTTGCGAGTAGTAGGACAGTCAGCCCAATCACTATCACTGAATGCTTTTAGTGTAAGTTCAGATGAGGCAGGAAAGAATAAACCATAAGCTGGACAACTTTTAACACACCGAAGAACACGATTTGCAGCATGAAGATGTGCTGAGGTTGGTTTGTCAAGAAACTGACTTAATTGCTGAACAGCAAAAGATAAGTCAGGTCTGGTAGAGGTCAAGTAAAGGAGACGCCCAACCAACCTTCTGTAAGAAGTGGGATCTGAAAGAAGATCACCATCAGTGTTGGATAACTTCACGAAAGAATCCATCGGTGCAGTGGCAGGTTTACAAGCTAGATATCCAGCATCTGATAATATTTCAAGAGCATATTTAGTATTTACGTTGGCAGAGAATAATGCCATGCTTGGAACATGCAACCTCCAATCCAAGAAAAAATTTGAGATCACCAAGGTCCTTTATTTTGAAGGCAGCATCAAGGGAAGCCTTCACACGATCAATTTCTTGAAAATCATTTCCTGCCAAGATAACATCATCAACATACACCAAGAGAGCTGTAAGAGAACCATTATGGTGTTTAACAAAAAGTGAATGATCAGAGGATGATATAGTGTAGTCAAAAGATAGTAAAGCGGAAGTAAGCTTTGAGAACCATTGACGACTGGCCTGTTTGAGTCCATAAGGGGACTTTTGAAGACGGCAAACCTGATTGGGATGAGAAGAGCTGAAACCTGGAGGCAAGATCATGTAAACTTATTCAAATAAATCCCCATGCAGGAAAGCGTTATTCACGTCAAGTTGTTTCAGGTACCAGTTTGAAGAAGCAGCCAAGGCAAAAAAGAGTCTAGCAGTTGTAAGCTTAGCTACAGGAGAGAATGTATCAAAGTAGTCGATATCTTCGATTTGGGTATAACCTTTGACAACTAAACGAGCTTTGTAACGCTCAATTGTGCCATCAGCCTTTCGTTTGATCCGATAAACCCATTTACAGCCAATGGGAGTTTTTCCAAGAGGGAGATCGGTAAGTGTCCAAGTATCATTTTGTTCTAAAGCAGAAATTTCAGCTTGCATAGCTGTTTTCCAACAATCATGTTTGATGGCTTGATTGTACGTTTTTGGTTCAACAGTTATGGAAATGGCAAGGGTGTAATGTAAGTGTTTAGGGGACAAACCAGAATATGATAATACAGAAGATAAAGGATAAAGAATTCCTGACTGGAAACTGGTAGCTTCAGTTGTTGTGGCCATGTTGCAATGATAATCATGCAGGTAAGATGGAGGCTTACGATGCTGATGAGATGATCGAGTGACAGGTTGATTAGAAGAAGGAAGAAAAGTGTTTGAAGTGTTGGAAGAAGAACGATCTGGTGGTTGAGGAGAAGTAGAGTCAGAAGCTATCGAGTGGCCAGTTTTTGTTGAAGAGAAAACAGAATCAAAAAATTGTAAAGTGGTGTCACGAGGTAAAGGAATAGGAGATTGAGTATTGGCAACAAATGGAAAAGTTGACTCATAGAACAAGACATTTCGGGAGGCAAATATTTCTCTGGAATGTAAATCCAGGAGAATGAAACCTTTGGTGCCAGATGGAAAGCCAAGGAAAAGGCACTTCCTAGCTCGAAAATCAAATTTTGTTCTATGAGCTGATAAAGTAGAAGCAAAGCAAAGGCAACCAAAAGTTTTTAAGGAGTTGTAATCTGGGGTAGTATTGTAGAGCAGTTGGAATGGGGACCTGTTTTGCAATAATGGAGTTGGAAGCCGATTTATCAAATGAATGGCATGACATACAGTATAATTCCAGTACAGTTTGGGTAGGTCAGACTAAAAAAGCAAAGATCGAGCAACATTTAACAGGTGTTGGTGCTTTCTTTCCACAACACCATTTTGTTGGGGTGTCTCAACACAAGAGGCTTGGTGATAAGCTCCTTTTGAACCATAGAAAATAGGCATGGCAAATTCAGAACCATTGTCAGACCGAATGGCTTTAATTTTGCTGGCGAATTGAGTTTCAACAAGGAAGAAAAAAGATTGAATTAGATTTCTTACTTCGGATTTTTGTTTAAGTAAGAATATCCATGTGA